TCTGATATCACCTGAGGTCCATAGATTAGTTTACGTCCGATCATGGCCACCTAGATGCAATTTTAAAAGTGACTCTGAAAAAATCAAGTAGGCTGAAAAACTTCCGGAAATGTCAGTTTCTGATCCAGAATTGTCTCAGAAATCCAAAAATGTTACAATATACAGGGTGTTCCATTTAAAAATTCAGAACCGGAGCCATTTCCGCTGAAACCGGAAGTGACCGGAAAGTGAAAAATATGTGAAAACTCTCCTCTCCACATACCATTTATCTGTACCAAATCTCGTTGTGATACACCTAATAGTCTAGAAGTTATGACTTGTCTAATAGATTCGTTGACACCCGGTATATGCCATACCTCGATAAAACTTAAATAGTGAAGAAGTAGCTATTATAAACCCAAGTGCATTTATTAATGCAGGGTTATCATTACATAAACGTTCTGTGAAATAGTAACACATTGTTATCAGTGAACAATCGGCTTTTCTCAAAGCCAAACCAACCGAACAATTAGTGACAAAAAACCAGAGCTTCTTAGCTCTAAATAAACTACAATTACAGAACTTTTCAGTTCTAAACGAAGTGAATTCGTTGTGGCAGTTCCAGACTTTCAGAGCTCCCAGCTCTAATCATAATAGAACTTTTCAGTTTTACCCAGTGAGTTCAAGACAGTGTGTTGCCGCAGACTTTCAGTCAACGAGGGTAATCCAAAGAGGAGGCATCCGTCGCCGTATTTACTGTATCCTCAGCAAATACAGCCGGAGGCACGCCGACCCGTTTTGTCTACGAGAGTTTTCACGGGAAAACTCTCACTGCACTGGCAATCGGCGGCTTCAAACGCCCCTGAGTTCCAGGGAACTTTTCTCACCACCGTTTATACATTCACAGGCAAATAAAGTCACGATTGTGTCTTTTTTAGGAACAGGGATCACATGGAATCTTCCAGTCCGGTCCTAGTGGCCAACGTGGAGGCTGGTCGTACCCCGGCGATTTTTGTGTAGACTAGTTGTTCTCAGGGAACCTAAAAACGACTCTTATAATCTTTTGCTTAAATCTGATATCGTCGTCGCACAAAGTTAAAGGTACTCGGCTGTACTTAGATCCTCCGGGAGTCACAGAGACTTCCCGGCTCTGGTATTGTGTGGAGATTTCGGCGTCGACAAAAAGTATCCACTCGCCTAGCCGGGACTCGTCGACAGAAAAAGGAGAAATGGACAGTAATCCTTATTTTTCCTCAACGCCGAATCCACTACATGTTGTGAACAGAAACTGAAGTTCGAAACTTATCCATTAACTGGATTCGTATAATGAATTCTTGCAGAAGCTGTAGCACCTTCATTATTTCGATAATAGGTTGCAAGAATTTCTATCTTTTTCCAGTAGAATAAACCATGTTGGATAACAGTGAACAAGGATGACAGTGGCCAACTAGGTATCTACTTTTTGTTCTGCAACAACTGGATTCAACAAAAACTACCAGTGCAGAAAAAACTAACAATGTCGTACATTTCAAAACGTTTACTACTAATTGAATAAATTCTACAAATCTGTAAGACTTGCGACAGAGAATTGTTCGGAAATGCCGATTTCTGACTCCGGACATCTTCAATAATGTAAGGAACGCTATCGAAAGTGAACTGTATTATTGTATGGAACTAGGTGGAGATCATTTTGGACACTATATGCGTTTATTGTGTTGCCATTGATATTACTTCTGTTGATTTTCTCAATAAAATGAGCGACAGCGAAAATAAAACGTTCAACATTTAATTTATCAATAACAAATGAACCAATTTCGAAAAAAAATACAGAAATAATAGAGGTACAAAAGACCTTTTAGATGATGTATCACTCGACCCCCCCATGCTATTTTAAAAAATGGGGGGGGGGTTGATGACCGCAGGGGCGTGAAGTTTCAGGTATAATTTCAATATCAGAATCAGTCACTCTAGATCTTGCGGTACCCGACAAAATAGTGAGATGCATTGAACAACTAATACCACTTTGGCGAACTCGCTTTACCATAACATCTGGTCAAGCAAGAGTCCAAACAGGGTGGGTCACTTTCAGAAGGGGTGTATTTCAGGATGATTCCCTCAGTCCCCCGGAAACCGGAGGCACAAGGTCACCTGTTTGTTTTATAGGGATGATCTTAAACTTTATGCCTCTGGAGAGAAGAATCTCCATCAGTCCTTGAGGGTGGTGGAAGAGTACACGCATGCTATCGCTATGAAATAATTCGGGATAGACAAATGTGCAATGGTCCATTTCAAAAGAGGACGATGCGTGGACTACGGAGAGGATGTGCAGCTCATAGATGGAAGCATCTTACACCATCTGGATGCCGGAGAAACATATACTTACCTCGGGGTGGAACAACGGCTCTCACAAGAGGTAACATCAGTGAAAAATTCTCTCCGCGGCAAGTATCAGCACAAACTTCGACAGATCTGGTCATCGGAACTGTCGGGGAAGAACAAAGTTGCTGCAACAAATATGCTTGCCGTTCTAATCTTACTCTACTCGTTTGGAGTAGTGGAGGGGACTCGGGAGGAGCTGTATCAACTCGACGTAAAGACCCGAAAAATGATGCATCTCAATAAGAGTTTGCATCGTCCGTTCCACGGTTGTACTTCCCCGACAACAGGGAGGCCGTAGACTCTTGAGTTTGGAGTGTCTACATGACAGAATGGTGCTGGATACAGCTTGTAAAGTCGTCAGGAATTGGAGCATTTCTCTTAAGAGCAGCTGCCCGAGCAGCTGATGAACTCGGTATAGTTTCCGAGGTGACCACAACTCTGTCACCGAGTTGGAACCTGTTCAGCAAAAAGCTCAGATAAAAGCCGCAGAGATCACCTTACTTCTGCGGAAACATAAGGATAAGCCAATGCATGGGGTCTTATTCAATAACATTGGAGACCTTGACTTATGAAAGCGCCTGACCTTTGCTTTTCTCAGATCGAGTGGGCTGAAGATCGAGGGGTTCATAATGGCTTGCCAGGATGGTATATTCAACACCTTAGTCTACCGCAGTCGCGTGATGGGTTCCTGATGTTCCTGACACAAGGTGCAGGGCCTGCCGCGAGGCGCCCAAGGCGCATATGAAGACTGGATCGCATTTGCTGGACATGCTATCAGCATGTCCTACACGGTGTTGCCCTACACTCCGGGGATATTGAATCCGTTGTGGGGAACGAGAAGTGCCGAATTTATTGGAACTATCGTTCCCCACCCTCAGGCTCATACAAGCTAATACGCCTGATGTAGTCCTTCACGACCACCAGAGCAAAACGATATTTTTCGTGGAGTTTTCAGCTCCTGGCGAGACGAATATCGTGAGAAAAGAGGAGGAAAAACGGATAAAATATCAAGATTTTCTCTTCGAACTCCGCAGACTCTATCCAGATCACTCTGTCAAGACGGTTGTTCTGATTATTGGAGTCCTTAGTGGAATGATGTCCTCTCTATTCTCGAATCTTAAAATCATACCGGCTTGCCGCAATAAGGCAGAAATTTCAGCCGGGCAGATGCAGAAGGTTGTCATTCTTGGCTCACTGCACTTGCTCAGAGCATATGATTCTCGGCCCAATGATCACTTGCCCCACGGTGAGGGAAGTGGTCGTTGGTTGATAATGCTGGGGCGCCCTCCTGAACTTATCGGGGTTTCGGAAGATAGGACCTGACCAGCGCACACTACAGTGAAAAATAATAATAATAATAATATACAAATAATACGAATATTTTCCTGTTGGATATATAAAACGTCTTGTTTATTGGATACCTCAGTTCAATGATGAATTTATACAGATGTGAAAATATATCAACTCAGATGTTTTTACGCAATAATTTCATTGATATCGTAATATTAATTGATACTGACATCCGGATTCATTAAATCACTGCTACATAATTTTACAGGTCGTGGATCCTGACAGTGGAAATATTGTGGGCCCCAATGAACCTGGAGAATTGAGAATAAAAAGCATTTGTGTAATGAATGGATACTATAAGCGAGATTATTCGAATAGATTTGACGAAGAAGGATGGTTCAGAACTGGTGATGTAGTCTATTATGATGAAAACTGCCAGTTTTACGTCGTGGATAGGTTGAAGGAAATGTTGAAATACAGAGGATGGCATATTCCACCTGCCATCTTGGAACTTCAACTCTCCCATCATCCTGCTGTGAGGCAGTCAGTTGTTATAGGTAGTATACTTATTTTGAATTATTGTTTTGTCTCTGTATGAAATTCAGCCCTCTAGTTAAGGAAGACCCCAACTAGCAAATTTATATTTTATAATAGTTGCGAAAACGTTTCGGAGAAGCGGATTATAAAACTGTATATATACCATAAATGTTTCCAATCTGTTTAAAAAATCTGTTTTTCCGTTAATCAGCTGCCGCCCCCATACGAATGACAACTCTCAGAAGTTGAGAAACTTGTGCGAGCTGAGGACTAACGAGGTCTTACCTTTTAACGTGTGATTCCTAACACGTCCCAATGTGTTTATAAAACAGTTATGATTAGAAAATTGGCACCGTTTTATAAAACATTACAATCTTCATTATTCTACAAACACTAGAGAACATGTTCATAAACATTTCGGTAGTTACTATGAAATTTTTCTAACACTCTTTAAAAGTAATTTTATAACGATCCTCATGAAATATTTAAAAGACAATTTTATAAGAGTTTCTAAGTGGTTTCAAGTGAGCGTTATAATTATATTGCAGCCTAAAACGATAACGATAAAATAAAAAACCTGTTCAATTTCTCGAAGGCGCAAGAAGTGATTTTGTATTGAATACTGGGAAAATATATTAGCTATGTCACCAACTAAAAACCAATAAATAAAAGGTTGAAATTTCACTTTTGTGTGCGTCAATTCTATGCCTATCTCTCACCGTTTCGAAAATATCAATTATTCTGTATTTTTTTCGGCAAAAACATGGTATTTTTAATATTCGATATCGCATGAATTAACTGATACACCAAACTCTGGCAACCTTGAGATAAGGTATGGTGATTGTTATTCCAGAACAAAATTGAAATCTTATTTCATACAGATTGTCTGAAAAATATCTCTCAATTTGTATCTTTGATAAACGACCAAAACTTTTTTTTTTCAAACAGAACAACCTGTATTTTACGATGATCCAAACTTTTTCAAAAAATTAAACTCCGAAATGTGAACATTCGTGAATGATTTTTCGAATATTGTTTTTTGACGTGAAATAATTGAATTACTTTTCATAGGTCAGAAACATGAGGAAGATGGAGATCACCCCATGGCAATTGTAGTCTTACATGAAGAATATAAGGGGAAAATAACCCCTGAAGAAATAGAACAGTTCATCGAGGAGAGAGTTCAAGATAAACAGAGACTGAGAGGAGGAGTGCGGTTTGTCGATAGTTTTCCGATGACACCATCAGGCAAAGTGAAGAGGAAAACACTGAAGAGAATGTTTTGTGTTGATAAAAATTGTTATTTGAGACAAAAAAGTATTGATCCTCTCAAATGAGGATGGATACGTATATTTTAGGTCATCACTAGTTACCAAACATCATTCTGTTATATACTCAAATAGATATTTTAAAATTTTTTCCATTAAATTTTGTTTTTGTTGTGAGCTGAAATGTACGACATGATTTGTATTGGATGAATGGTAATAGTAACATATTGAACTATCGATATAATACGATGTTATTATTTATGCATGTCCAGAAAGTTGTAAGTTTATATTTCACTTGATTTTGTGTTTCCCTTGATCATATTCATTATATAAGGACAAGGACTTTTCATAGAAATACATATCTTTTATTCAAACCGACTTCACATATTTTAAATCATTCTATGCGGAATTATATGTATTTTCGAATACTCGTAAACAAATCTTTATTGAATGGTTTTATTCAACTTGCCTTGTTTGTTTGGGTCAAATTAAGTAATTGAAGTTTGACCCCCTTCCTGTTGACAGATTGATCTGATATTTGGGACACGCATCAACATTTGATGACAATACTATTCAATAAATTAAGTATCATTGTAAATCCACAATGGCCGCAGCTACAAAATGCCGGATTACATATTTACATACTACGCCCAATTATTTTATCATTTTTTTTTATCTGATCAATACCGTAGATTGCTGAGGAGAGTGATGTGATGACTGCTGCCTAGGACCTATCGGATAATTTTTCAGCTTCAAGTACATCATCTGCATCATTTTTATCTTTTTTTTTTTTTA